CAATCCAGGGGAAGTGCGGGCTAAATTGTATAGTATGTTATTTACACTTAGACCAATAGGTGCAAGTTCGTATTCAAACCTATTGTTACTTGTAGTTCTTCGTATTTATTATTTCTTACGTGAAACAGAAAGCAAGTCGACGAAAAATATGAAATTTATTATTTATTATTATTATTATTTTTATTTTTATTTTTATTTATTTATTGAAAATATTAAATGACACAAATTAAAAAATATGCACAAATATGGCCCCGCAAAAACCATATAATTGGATTGTCCGCGGGTGCGCTGGTTTTTTTTTGTGTAGAATTACATAAAATACATACATATATAATATACTGTATATAAATAAAATATTCTGTTCAAGGGCTATACTAATTTGTGATGACATGTCTTGTTATTGCTACTTCCCCCCTCTTTAGAGCAAATAGTTTATATGAAATGTTACTATTCTGAAACTGCTTTCAGTTTCAAACATGTTTTAATTGAATTATTGTTATTTAAATTAGTATTCCATTAAATTGTTGTCTCCTCACATGTGGTCGATGCGGTAACTCGTCGAAGTCGTCGCCGTCGCCCGCATGCCGCGCTGATTTGCATGCGCCGCCTCACCGCATGGATGACGAGACCGATAACTTTTTCACGCGTTCGTTCTTAACTTCCTTAAATAATACACAATTGAACGAGATTCATGACATATAAGTGATATAAGTACAATCTTTTAGTAAAGTGAGATTTTTTTCATACTGCTATTAGTTGGAATCGAAGCACATAGAAATAAAAAATAATTCTTATCCCGCTTTTAAGGGTATTATTATGTAAACATACTGAAACACGATATAAAAAAGGGATAACCTATAAATAAATTTGTTGCGAGAAATTCCAGACTGTGTCTGCCGAAAATGCATTAAAAAGCTATTTCCCACAGGAAATTAATTTGTCAGATACAATGATTGCAAATAAAATATAGATAAACTGTAAACAAGCTTTCATTCTCACCATTAAATGTCCGTCGGTGTAATTCATTATCCCCATCTGTATTTTCAATTAAGATAGGGACTAATCAATAATTGCATCACTTTTATCGAATAAGTTTCCCGAAGGAGGAAGCTATCTATCTTACTAAATTCACAAACTAAGTTTTTTTATAGTGCTACAAAGACAATAAAATAAATAAATTTGTGAGGTAGGTAGATAATTACTAATGTGAGGATGGTATTAATTGCGCGGCCGCACCTGGGCGCCGCAGGTGACGATACAATTTGGGGTCAGCGGTGGTTTTGACATCGAAACGATGTGCAATAGGATTGTGGGAACTGACCCGTCGCCCAACTTAATTAGTACCGTTCCTATTCATTTCAGCATACAATTTGTGGGTTATCGTGTACCGATAAGTGTATTTCTCTAAATAAGTATTATTCTTCTTATGTGTAAAAGAGCAAGAAAAAATCTAGCAAATAATATTTCTGGATACCTTACACCCTAATTACGTAACCATTGTACGCTAAATATTTTAGATTTCAATTGAAATTTTATATAACCTAAATCTATACTCTAATATTATAAAGAGGAAAGATTTGTATTTTGGTATTTTCGTTTATATAACTCAAAAACAACTGGGCCAAACTCTTTCATCGTTAGAAAGGTAATTTATCTATCAGTTACATATTTTTATTTCACGCAGACAAAGTTCCGAGCAACAGCTAGTCATTTATAAAAATATATTCTAGCTTAATAACATAAATTCTACAATAATCTATTCATGCATGTAGCATAAACGTTATCCAGCACCTGTGCATACCGACTGGAATTATAAAGATTTTTTTGTTACAGCATTGTTACACTTAGTGTGTCACTATATGTGTACGTTCTGGTACTGGTATCTGGTACTTGCATTCCAGTACGTCGGTACGGGGGGAGCAGCACTATTAACACTAAAGGTGGAACATAAATGTCATCGCGGAACCTCTGTCTACCAGTTAACTGTTATTGACAGGTGTAACATCTTACATACGATTTTATTAATGAATTTACTTATTATTCGTCTAATTGTTGAGCAGCTGAAACCATAGCCTTACAATTACCAATTAAGCACCTATGGAGTATTGATAAAATAGAAAATATGTAAAAAAATATAGTAATTTATATCTTTCTCTAAATACTAGCTGTTGCTCCCGAATTGGTCTGCGTGGAGTTAAATAAATAATTAAATATTAAAGCCTATGTTAATGATAATGTAGCTTTTTTATAAAAAAATTATGATTTTTTAAATCGGTCCTGTAGTTTTTGAGTTATTTCTACACATACAAAAATATAAATCTTTTCTCTTTATTATATTAGTATAGATATAGATATAGATTACATTATCTAAATTTTCTTTAAAATTCCTGGTAGTGTTTGGGCTCCCTTTTTCCGCATCTTTCTGTCATTAACCTATTAAATCTCAAAAATCCACAATTAATAATTTCAATTATTGAATTGTGGATTTTTGAGAATGAAAAGATTTTTGAAATGCTATTTAGATCGATGTTTAAGGTCCTGTCCCACCACTGGCTGACAGAGGCTTAGCTTAAATATGACGTCACTTTCAGATAAGAGAACAAAATCCCATAATTTCCATCACATATTTCACACGTTCGATTATTATCACACAATTTACAATTTGGTGGGACAGGCCCTAATAGTTTTAAGGTACGAGAAAATAAAAAAAACAATATAACGTTCGGTCACGTTTATTTAGAATAATCATCAATAGTAGGTAATTATCACATATCTGTAAGAATTTGTCAATAAGCCAAGCATTTGTATACATTATACGCATTCATTGCCATTTGATTTACAAAGACCTTCGATACATATTAAAAAACAACTAATTACGTAAAAAAATTTAAATAAAAAAATATAGGAGCTCATAAGATAAAATGTATCATACTAAATTTTTATTAAAAAAAATCCGAATTATTAAGTCTATTTAAAAATCAAAAGTGAGTAGCCTATGTGTTCTTCCAGATTATCCTCTACATCTATACCAAATTTAATCGAAATCCGTTCAGCCGTTTAGGCTACAAACTCTAACAATCATCCATCTAAATTTTCGCATTTTTAATAATAGTATGATTGGGGAATCTATATTCATACATCCTTACAAATAAACGCGGTATAAAATTAAAATCAGTATATTTGCTTATAATATACTCAGTTATTTATATATCCTTATACTCAGTTTATTCCTAACTGTAACTTTACTCCACGTTTATTTGTAAGGCAGATAATGTTTATAATCGTTAACTAAGAGTACAAATTGAAATTATATCCATATAAAGAGGTCGATATACAGAGCGAGCTGGCGGCATACTGTGGACGCCCTCTGCCCCACTTTGGGGACATAGGAATAGAAGAGAGATAAAGAGGTCGATGTAAATCAAATACATTTATATAACATCGAGGTATATAGTGAGAACTTTTATTTCAACATGGCCAACAATTAATGCATGTATTAAATATATATGAATATATAAACTGGATTAATTTGCGAAACTGCTTTAATAGATCAATCGACAATAAGCTATACTGTGATTCATAACACGGCTAAAACTCATGTGGGAACTCTCGGTGTAGGTACCGACCAGTTTTAAACCCGTAGGGGGTCCTTCTTCAGGGTGAGTGGTTGCCGGTTTGCCGCGTCGCGACGGTCACTAACCGTCATCAGAGACCGTCGCGACGCGATAGCGAATAAAGCCGGCAACCACTCACCCTGAAGATGTTATAAACCATATAGTATAATGTCGCACGAAAGTTTTAATAAGTTAAATAAATGCTTGTTAACTTTCCGTTTTTTTATAATTTCATTGATAATTTTTGTTACAAATTAATATTAGCTGTTAAAATATATTCAAAACTAAACAACACAACTTATTGTCGACTGAATTTCGTTAGGGTCACCATACACGGACTACAAAATTCAGCGTAGCTTGGTGTCCGTGTGCGGCGGCCCTTAAGCAAAGTTACAAAGGACTTTTAATGTTTAATAACCAGCATTAATTTACATTGCATTGGTTTAGACTAACATTTTAACAACGACGTAATTTTATATATTCTTGTTATTAAAAATTTATGTAGAAAACAAAAACATACTAAACCATCGTGCCGTATACTTGTAAAGTTGCATTTCTATTGCGATTTTTTTTTCTAGAAAAGTCTGCATGGTTTATTTCAGAAAGCTATATGAATGATGAATATGCATTATTAAAAAAAATTAATTAACGAGTTCTTGTTCAACTAAATATATTTGTAGGTTTATTAGAGACTACGAAATCGGTAAAATTAATATCATTTTATCACAATAATTAACGTGGTTAAAGGTCATTACTAACTTAAAGTTTTTATAAGAATGCTATGTAAAATGACATGGCTTATTAAAAAACATTGCAATATTCATAAGAAATACCGTGTGCAGTAATTATCTTAAGTGACATAACTCAGACGTGGTCTAAGACCGAGCTTAGGTTTACCACGAAATTACACGATATTTAAAAAAAATAAAATTGCCACTACTGTGCTTATATGTACCCCAAAACTAAAGACAATGAAAATTAGAGCAAATAATATAGTAATTTAGATTTAGAAGAAATAATGGAATAATTAAGACATAATTAATAATAATCATAATTGTAAGAAATAAATCAATAAAACTAAGGAACTTTCTCATCAAATAAGGAACTAAAGTATCTAAAATTAATTGTCACAAAGACACGTTGAGATATGTATAATGGTAATCTTTACAAAACAACTAGCGACCCTGGCTTTGCTCGGGGCTTGTCAATAAACAAAAACAGTCTAGATATTAATTGCCTTTTAAAAATGAAGTGATTTACAAAATTTGTTTAAATTGATTTTATTTTACAGAAAAAAAAATCGATATCTTTTACGCACATAAATGTACTTTTATAATGTTTATGTCAGCAAGGGACTCGAAAAAAAAAACAAAAGTCTAAAAACCATGACATAAACCTTTCATTTCATCCTTAAAACTTTAAAATTAAAATTTTAAGTAAATGGAAAAATATTTATTCAAAGGATGTTTGAATACTGGTCCCTATAAGGTTAAGCTGAAATTTCTTAAAAATGTACTGTTTTTATAAAAATAGAAAGTGTCATCATTGAAAGGATAAGGGTTTTCAATTATTTTAATTTTAGTGAGCCGTTTATAGATAATTTTCCAGAAATTTGTTCTAAACTTAACAATAAAAAATCAATTAAAGAGATACTTAAACAAGTCTAAAGGATAAAAGTAAAATTATGTAAAACTACCAATTCCATGAATTAACTAAAATGAACATGGGCGTGAACAAAAAATAAGACGATTGAACTGGCAAGGTATTGCGTAACAAATGTTATGTTTTATTAAACCCTTCTTAAGTGAACAAACTCGAACGAAATTACATGTACATCGGGTTAGTTTTTAAATTAAACAGACAATTTTCTTAGATGTTATTTTTGTCGAAAATCTCTATTGTTTATTCGCCCATTGCTCGTTTAATACTAAAACAACTGGTAACCAATACACTTTTTAAAAACAATACAATTAAACACTACACAAGTAAATACAACGAAATCAAACAAAAAATACAACACCCTGTTTAAAATACCTACAAAATAGTTGAGTTTTCATAATTTTCCCTTCACAACTAAATTAAAAATCGAGACATTTATTTCGAAATTGAAATGTATTAAAAATAATGAAATATAATATTGTACTTGGAGGTTGTAAAGGGAATGTGTGATTACTAGAAGCGAAAAATAATGGCAAAAATATCGGTGAGTATCGAATTTAATTTAAAGTGTCGATTTCCATTGCCGAAATACCTATAAAATGTTATTTCCTCATGTAAACCCACGGTTACAATAACGTCATAATACCGAATCTTGTCAAGTCAGTTACAAATTTCCAATAGTAAAATTTAATTAATCCAAAATCATAAATTACTATTAAAAATAATAATAATTTTCATTAATTAATTAGGAACATAAAATGTGACAATACAATAGTATTTCCAATTTTAAAATAATTCTGGCAAGAAAAATATTTAATAGTCATGGATAGATGTTATATGAAATACATTTATAAATAATTGTAATTTTTAAGTACTATATGCGTACTGTTAAGGAAACAAATCTTTGCTATTTCCAAATTATTTCTTCTATTTTGTATATTTCGTTATCTGTCAAAGTGGAAACAGACACTTAAGCAAAAAATTAATTAGATGATCCGCAAATATTTTTTTTATTCTATATGAACTTATGAGGATTATTAAAAACACTGCAATTAAAAAATTTAATAAAAAATATATATCCTAATTCGCGTAAAATACCTACAACTATATGAGCTAAAGATTTAATAGTGAAGCGGGGAACATCTCTAAACGTATATAGAAGGAGAAATGCGACGGAGATAGTAAAAACTTCTATATACAAAGTAAATATATAAATAGAAGTAAATGACAACAAGGAGCGTCTCCGATATACAAGACATACAACTTTATACACGTAAGTGGTAAATATCGAGTTATATCGATTTAACTATGTTTAAACATTACGCCAGCTACACATCTCCAGTTTTAATTGTACAGATTGTGTTAAAAAATGAAGGTGTGTTGCCGACTTTACTAATATTATGGACAAAATGTGTACAAACACAATGTAGTGGACATCACAAATTGTGTTTGTAAAATTGTACTACCGGCAACAAAATCTCACTACATTGGGTTTTGACAAACATTTTAATACATACGTCTAGAGTTTTCATTGCCGAGACATTTACAAAAATATATCCCTCTCATACATTTTGGAGAAAATAAAGACAAGACAGTTTTAGTAAATATTTCGACAGTTAATGAAATCAATGAAAGCTTTGGTAGGAGAAAACTCAAAAAATATTTTAAATGGTTAACAAATGTAGTTAAAATGCGTATACATTATGTTAGAACACACCGAAATATAATACTAAAGCCGACCTGAGATTTATTTAAAAATACGGTGTCGTTCTTTTGGAGATCGACGATAAGGTTCTAACAAAAAAAACTTCCACGTCCTGGATTAACACATAATGTATACCCACCCTAACTTCATACAAATTTATATGTTAAAAGCTAGTACTATGAAATGTATGTATTAATATGTTTGTATTTAATTTGTCGCGAGCAGATATTTCAATGATTGGTCCAACTGGACGTATAAGGCTCGTTTGTAAAATGATTATCGTGTAGGTGTTTAGTGCGCGAGGACCTTATTTGTTAACTAACGACGTGAGTCGCTTTACGCCCGATTTAGCGGCACCCTTCGTCTTTTTGCTCTGTTCTTTGACACCGCTGGAAAAAAACAATAAAAAGTGTTAAAGGTTATCGTTCTTTAGAAGTTTCCATATTTTATTAATTGCGCTATAAACTTCATTAATTTGAAATTCACAAGACAATATGTAATGCACAAATTACACAAAAAGTATAAGAAACAATACAATATGGATTATCTAAATAAACACACAGATTCTCGGTAAGAAAATTGATCATTCCTAATGTTTTTTTTTCAAAATAAAGGAAAAGGTTATATATATATATATATATATATATATATATATACAAAGACTAGCAATGACATCATAAGTAATGCTATACTTGTGTGAGGTGTGAGTAAGGTGCGTGTGAGGTGTGTGTGGTGTGTGAGGTGCGTGTGAGTTGTGTGAGTTGTGTGAGGTGTGTGAGGTGTGCGAGGTGACTCACAGGTATCTGGTGAGGTCCTCGATGTCGACGAGCATGGAGTCCTGGCGCATGTGCAGCTCGTCGCGCGCCATCAGCAGCTGCACGAGGCACTCGTTCAGCCACTCGATCTCGCAGTGCAGCTCGTTTACTATCACCTGAAAAACAACGTTCATATTTTAAAAAATAAGCATGATAACACATTTATATGCATTAAGACACAAGAAAAACTTAACCTTTTTTTGATTTTGGGGTTAATTTTAAATGTATAACCTAACATTCTTTCTAAATTACTAAACAAAACTCTCATATATCCTGTAATAGGTGATAAAGAAATGTAAATAGCTAATTGTGTCACTAAATTTAAAGGATCATTTGAAATTACCTAATTGTAGTACAATAACGTGTAAAAAGTCTACATTGTATGCACAATATTGTGTCAAAATATTGAACGCCTTTGTAAGTTGCAACATAAACAATGGTCATTGTGAGCGAGGCATTCAATCGTGACTCATCCGATCACGTGCTATAAACGAGGCCAAACATTATTTATTCCAATTTAGTTATTGCTTCAGAAATTAAATATTTTATATCAGAAGTAAGTTTCGTCTGATGTATGCCAGAGGGTCAATTTTAGTCCCTTTCCATTATTACCCTTTTTTGTAAGGGAGGGAAGTGAAAACTGTCATAGGACATATTATCTCTCACTTCTCAATCGTTTTGAAATGAACACCCTCACACTGGGCCAAAGACTGGTTGCCAGAGGAGGGGATGCAAAGGAACAGAAAATGTCCCATTCCTCCGTACAACAAAGGTAAGCTACGTATCTACAAATATGGACGTCTACAGGCAGTGGTTGCTTTGCCCTTTCGACGAATTCTCTTGGTCACTTGTCGTTTGACACCCTATGATAAAAATATTTTTTGTATATTACGAGGTGGCAAATGAGCAAGCGGCCACCTGAAACCACCAAAATGGCGAAACGACCGCTGCCCATGGACATCTGCAATTGCAGATGCGCTGCCTACCCTTAATCTACTGAGGAGACTCAGATAAAGAGGATATTTCCCCTTCCTATACATATCCTCCACCGTCAAATCCACTTTTCCTTCCCTATTAAGATAAGGGTGGAAAGGGAAAGGGACCAAAATTAAGCCTCGGGCACCACACTCATCATACGAAACGCGGAATTGGTCCCATTACACGTTTGTCTTGAGTAGTCATGGTATTTCTGGGGGCGAGCCGACCCTACAGTGCGAAGATGTTAAAGCGGGCTTTACCACTGTAATAATAAGGACTAAAGTGGTTTAAATTTGTACCTGTAACTGAGCAATGTTCATGTCGGTGAGCAGCTGGCGCGAGACGCGGCGGCGGTCGGCCGCCAGCGGCGCGCTCGCCTTCTCCATACTGCGCCGCAGCATCTCCGTCACCGGCGACACGGACCGCCCGTGACGCTCCCTCTGCACACAAACAGTTACCTCGACATCTATACTAATATTATAAAGATTTGGAGGATTTTTGTATGTATTGGTGTAATTCAAAAAGAAATGGACCAATTTAATAAATTCTTTCCCCATTACAAAAGTTACATCATCAGTGAGTAATATATATGAGAGTATCAATAAGTAGTCATTTATATTGGCATCTCCGTCTTCCTATTAAAAAAGCTTATTTGTAGGTACTGGGCAACGGGATCTTATAATCTTTTTGACAGAAACATGACAACAAGCAACATAATTCTATAGACTTATGTCTGATATTACAGCATGTTATACACAAGGTAAGTGCCTAAATGTCATGGAGACATATGTACATCAGCGCTAAACCAATTCAAAACTTCAGGTCATGTAAGCTTAAAACATAGAGCTGCAGCTCAACAATATCAGCACAGCTCCACAATGTACCATAACAACCATTAACACTCTGGTGACTAGCAGTTCAATATTCAAATATGAAAAACTATATGCTGGTAGAAATTGGGTTGTGATGCCGTTTATATCTGTTTTCCAAATGTTAACCATTATCTTATTTGCAGGTCATCAATTAGAGTTTACTTAACGTAATAACTTTCTTAACCACATAATTAAAGAACTTTAGAAAGGCGCTTATTAAATCAAAATATTATTATACCTCCATTTGTATATGAGCCATTTCTTTAGCCTGAGCCAAAGCAATCCTGGCCTCGGTCTGCAGCCTCGCTTGCAGAGCGTAGAAATCAGTCTCCTTGATATCAGTCTGATGTAATGACTGAGTTGAACGAGATTTTGATGTCTTTAAAGAGAATGGTGATTGACGCAATTTAGGTCCTGTAATTATTAAGTAAATATATGTTATTATGCAAAATTAAAAAAATAACAATAAGCTCCTTCACCAAATAAAAAATAAACCATCATGTATACAAAGCATGAAGCTATACAAAAATGTTAATACATACAAGAGGAAAATAATGTTTTAAATACTATACACCATTTAACATATAATTGAACAGGAAAGGGAATGATCACCATGTATGGGAGTTGTTTTTGTTTATTTTCAACCACTATCTAATTTTAAGTAATTTCAGTTTAGCAATAATTAATTGTATGCTAAATTAACATTAAACTACAGCTAACAACACTAAACTACAGATTTTGATATTAAATGTTATGGAAAAATGTATAATTCCACTTACCACATTGTGGGGCACTGTCATTTTTAGTAATATTGACTGAAAGTGGCCTAGTCTGATACGGATGGTTTTGACTGATTCCAAAAATACTTGTATGTGGTAAAGTTTTGCTAGAACTTTTTATAGTTTTCTCTACATCAGATGCTTGGGATTCATTATCTGATGCAGTCTCATTCATAAAACATATTTGTAGGTTCTTCCCTGATGACACAACACAGTTACATGAAATAGCCCAATGAAGTGAACATGTAGATTAGCACAAAGTTTGTTTCACATTATAGTTGTTTGTTTAATAATAAAAATGTTTTTTTTAATTGAATTATTAGGCACACTTCGGTTACAGAACAATTATTCTGTAATATAGAATTAAACAAACAACCATATTAAACTATACAAAGCTATAACACACAACTAATTGTACAGTCAATGTTTACAAAACACCACAAAAGAAATATAAAGTATTAATACCATTCTGGAGACGTGAATGTAAGCTGGGTTTCTTGCCAGGTCTCTCCGTGTGTCCTAAACTGTAATACTCCTCACTGTCAGCATCCATTGCCAGTCGTTTTCTGATCTCTTCCCTGTCATTGCGTTTCTGTAAATACAAATGTTTTTTATTTATAACCCATAATGTAGTCTACATCCTTCTGTGATTTATTTCTTACTTTATTATGTAGGGAATGTTCATCTGTTATATTGATTATTTTAGTAAATTTATCCAAAATATTAGGATTGCTATCAGTGATGATTGGCCAAGCGATTTCAGTTTTCGCATTTTCAGCTGACCCTAAGGCTCTAGGGCTTAACATCGGATCATCATAGTAAGTATTTGCGGGTACACTAAGTTTCTCCGGTTTGTTTAATTTCTTTTTAAATAAATAAATACGATGTTTATATCCCGTCTTTTCATTGTCCACGTTTGCGTGAATATTGTCAGACGTCTTACTAAATCTTCTTTTTATACTAGAAATAAACTCTTCAAACATCTTAATATTAGTCAGTCTTGTATATTTGGCAAAATTGAGCAATTAATTATGGCACAAATTATATTTGTTTTCGATTTCGAAGTATTTCGTGTAATATTTAAAAGAAAAATAAAGAAAATGCCACAATCCTGTTCCTGTCATAATTTGACATTTAGGGCAAGGACAAATCGTGACAATCATTTTGTTCTATTTCACTTTATGCATTATGGTTTAACTACATAGAAATTAAGTGTAAGTATGTTTAGCTGTACATTAAACATTATAAAGGAACTTACGAGGCAACAAATATTATCGACGGACTCATGATTATCATAAGTAATAGTGTACAAATCCAATAGAAATCGGGTATCTTTTTTGTAATGTCTTTGTTCGGAATTAAAATAAGGCATTGACGCCATCACTTCAGGAAATTATTGCAAAACACAAATGTTCGTCAAGAGCACGATAAATATACGTCACACCGTTGAGTACACTGCCGCAAGAAATGAGGTACAGCATAAATGCAACCGCACTGCCTACGCCGACGTTGAATCACTAGAAAGCTGGACTTGCTACTTAATGGCAATTAACTGTTACGCGCGGCACAACAAATACACGAGTGTGAATGTGTGCAGATACTGTTACCTTTATGGGCGCCGAAATTTAAAGTATAAAACAAACCTGATCTTTAGGTTTACTGTTTATTCGTGTAGGCTCAATTAAATTAAATATATTGCAGGTGGTTCAAGTTTATTACATTATTGAAAAACACTTACCCGCCTTTCTGCTTCTTTTGCGGCTTTTAAATGACTTTCGATGGCATCCAAGTCTATTTTTGGTAAGGCAGTTTCAATGTTGTAAACATCAAAACCATCTGTAAGAAAGCAGAATTATCATTGATTAATACTTGCAGATAAATGATTTTAAAATAAGGGAATGCTTTGTATTTTTCTGTACCAAATAATAAAATAATAAGTAAAATACAAAGCACAAAGTAATTAATATAGAACTTGATACAATTGACAAAGGGATTTGCTTGTTTCTTAATATAAAATTTTAACTTACCGAAATCATATTCCTTTGCATTGTCGAATATACGGACGGATGCAGTATTTTGACTATTAGGCGACTTTAATGCAATGGCCTGAGATGAAAATCGGTCGCTACACGCCTTCTTCGCACTGGAAAGCATTATGAAAATCGAGTTTTTAAATCAATACTTAAATAACACATTTCAAAATTGAACGCCGTGTATTGGGGCATGTGTTTAGATTTAAACTGAATCCATTCACTTACGCCTCGTCGTGATCTATTTAAAACTATGTGTTCAATACACAAGCTTAAAAGTTTGTTGTTTGTACATTACGACGTAGAAAAATTAGCTAGTTGAATACAACAGAAAATTTGACAATTTAAAAAGTGTGATTCTTACTTACCTTGGTAATATTGTGGAATTTTTCCTAAATTTACTTGAGGTGCTATATTCATTTTTATTTTGTTTTATTTTCTCAGTATAATTTACACTGTTAGACTTTACGGCTGGAGTTGTAGAAGATGTATTACTTATTTCATTGGAATTATCATCCATTATAACAGAAGCGGTTTCTTTTATATTCTCAGTCCACAGTCGGTCACGTTCACGCATTTCATTTAATTTAGGTATAATTTTTCTCAATTCTGTACTTAATTGTTTTATTGTATTCTCTACATTGTGACTTAACGCTTCTGTGTCGTATTCATGTTCGTAAATATTAATTTCGTCTTTGCCGTCCGATAATATAGCATCTTGTATTTTGTTATTTGAATGATTTTCTATTAACAGAAATGTAGGCCTGCTTAAATTCATTTCCTTTCTTGTGTTTTTTTCATTATCTTTGTTTACGTTGTTTAATTCCTCGGCTTCTTCCTTAGAGTATGTTGTAGATGTTATATCAAATTCGTTCTCTACTCCATCGTTTTGTGTCTCTACCAATTTCTTTATAACATGATTCATAACATCACTTATATTATTTATCGTGTTTTCTATCGGTTTTGCAAAAGTATCTTTAATGTCTTTCCTTAACTCTTCAAGATCGTCCTGTATATTGATGTTGTAATTTAAAAGTTGTTTTATTTCATCCTCGATCTCCTTGTTGAAATCACCGATTATATCTTTTGTATTAAAATTATTTTCTATATCCGTAGCTGAGCAATCAAAGCTTATAGATTCGATTGTGTTATTATTAGATACAGTTTTCAATAGATCTGGGATATCATTTTGCGCGTCATCTGAACTCTTAGTTTTGGTTTGTAAATCACTCAGTTGATTAGTTTCTTTAGATTTATAATTAGTTATATTGTTATTATTAAAGTTAACTTCGCTCTCACTTGTTTTTAACTGACAAGTTGCATCTATATTTTCCGTGTCCAGATCGTCATCTGTCATTTCATTTTCCGATTGATAAAATGTTTCAATGTTCGTTGAATAATCCTGAAACATGTGATAAATTTGTTATTACTATATTTTTATTAACATTTTTTCTTAGACTAAGGTAGCGTGCACAAAGATAAAATTGATTAAACAATTCTTCTTAAACTAAAGAAGTGACATAAGCAAAAGCTTTTGTTCTTCTACCTTAAAATATGTCTACTTTTAAAATACTTTATTTGTTTACGTTATAGTCGAAGCATTAATATAGCTCGTCTCACGTGTTCCGTAATTTGTAAGGTTTCTCTTACATGATTACACGTCAACACTGCAAGGTTTCTTAGAGGAAGTGATAGATTACCTGCAAAGTGTGCGCCAAGTGCTGGAAGCCGGGATAGTTCGGATTCACGATGCCCCTAGGTACAGGATGTGCAACGTTTTCAGACATTTCATCTGTATCTGAATTTTCAAATGTTCTTTCTTCGTCGAGGGGCGTTGTCTCTGAGTAACGCAGAAAAATTACACGATTGATTTATTTATTAATATTTTAAACATCCATTTTAAGTTGTTAAACTTTTGTTCGATTTGAAATGCTTTAACGATGTAAATAAGAACAATCTATTAGTCTACATTTAATCAATATAATCTAAGGCAACCTAATAAATAGTAACGAATTACAACGCTGCTCTAGTGCGGATATTCGTGTTCCGATTTTACGAAGCATCAAAGAGCCCTTTTTAAATTTTATTACGTATTTCATTAACGAGTAGATACTTTCGTTCCCACCTGAAGCGCCTCGCGTATAATTTCAATGCAATTTTTTTTGAAGAGCACTTTACATTAGTATTCGAAAATAAAATATCTATGGACCAATGCTTTCAATTTCTACTTTCTTTTTGATTAATCCTTATATTTTTGCTTAAAAATGTAATCGCAGCTAGAGATAGTCTTCATACATGAGAGGGAAAGTAAAAAAGGAGCTTTTAATTTTATCAGTACAGAAATGTGCGTTTAACATTATACAACCATCAAAAATACAGTCAAACCATAACTGAAAATTGAGGCCTACACCCACGAGTACGATGAATTAAACTGCCGTTTTAACAGTTGCTCGACAAGAGCGTCGAAAAAAATTGTTTATAGAGTTAAAAATAATTTCGCAAAACACAAGCGACTTTTTTTTTACTTTACAAATTTGGTGTCAATGACTTCATTTAAATACGAGTCTGCGTACTTTTAGCTGAATTTGTTACATAAATTTGCGTTCAATTATATCATCGCGAAAGTCATGATAAGTAATGTTAACTCTTACAATTTTTAATCGAAATACTTTTACTTGCATATATTTAGAAAATACTGGCTGATGCTCGCGAATTCGTCAGCGTATAGTTTTGCATACAATACTTCTAAAATTGTTAACATCGGTAAAAGAAATTTATAATTTTAATAGGCTCTAATACTAAAAAGCTTCTTATATTCTTTTCTTATAGCAAATTAAAAATTAAATTATCACATTGTAATTAAGAAAAAATACGAAATATGATTTTACGAGTCGTGATAACTATGAATTACGTTCATAGAGGTTATATTTGGTCCATACCGATACGAAGCGCAGTACTTAGGGAAGTGGAGTTTTAATTAATAACCGCAGTACTTACCTGGAGAGCTTTCAATATGAATCACATTATCTTGTTCCAGTTTTTCCGTAACGGTTCTCTGACATGAGTTCGTGAATATATTTTGATTATTGATTCTGTACTGTCTATTACATACTCCGCTTTCGATGGTGACGTCAAAAGTACAGTCTTCAGATTGAAAATTTGTATCCTTAATCTCTGTACTGTCTAGAAAAACGTTGTTGCAATTTTTATTATCAACGTCGTGAGTAGTTGTATTTTGGGGGCGGGTATTGTTCGAGAGGAGCCAGCTCCTATTGTCCGCGTTCCTATGCGATGCGACCCCGTTTCTGTTTGCTGTGGTTACGTTGCCATTGTCAGGGCTCTGAACAATCCTCATGATTATCTGTAAAATGTTTTTTCTCATTAAATACTGCATTTTAGCTAATAATTGTTGTAGAGTATGGAGATTGATTAATATCATTTTCAATATTGCTCCCCTGAGATACGTTAAATGTATTGCATTATTTGCAGAGGAGGGCTGCGAGAGTGGAGACTTCCTAATGAAGTTACTCGCTCTCATGTTTATATGAATGTATTAGGTAAAAAAAGTTAAAAAGGTAAAAAAAACAGGTTTTGTGAACGTGGTTATTAACAAACAAAAACAAATGGAAACTTCGAGTTCACTGTTACAAAAACAAACAGTATGAAAATGCAAATTTTGAATGCAGATAACAAATCGAATTGTAACAATTATACTAAGTAAAATAAAAAATATGTATAAGAAATAGTTAGTATAGCGTAACCGTAGCTACTATGCCACTTTTCAATACATAACGAAACCGTTCTATGGACCATTCGATACCGTCGGCAGTTTTATGAAAGGTTTTTTTTTTATTATAGGTACCTTCTATTACGCCAGTAGTACACGGTAGGTAAATTTTACGTTACATAATACAAAATACGAACGTGGACTTTTACTCCAAACAAAACAACTGTGTTTTTACCAAATTTATAGGGAATTGTTTGTACTCGTGTAGATAGAGAAATTTAAAAAGAATATAATAAAGCAAGACAAAGCAAAATGAAAATTAAGTTCATAAAAACATTGTAATAAATTCAAAATCTATTCTTAGAAAAGTCTAGTGGCAGGTTTACTCCACTTTGATCACCTGAAAATCACCCAAATAATAAAAGTGGTATAAACGTAATTATTCCTCCATGGTTTGTTCCGCTATAGTCATTAACGTGATCAAAGTGGAATAAACCAATGATTTTTAAATTCAATTCGAGACGTAGTGCATTTCAAAGACCTTGTTATTTTATAAGTAGAATATTACGTATTGTATGTAGGAAGCATTCAACATTCCTTCGACAGAGGAAGCTGCACCCATCGGCCTTAATCCGATAATCCATAAAGCCGCTTCATAAACCTTTCACGTGGAAAATAACCGCCTCAAATATCGTCCAATTTAATATGTCGTAAACAAAAAATAATTAAACTAGATAAAACACTTTTTACACAATCTTTTACTACTAAATTCAATACGCGTCCTTTACTTAAACAAAGAAATTTACAAGATTTTTTTAAATTAAAATGTTAATTCAGGTTCTGCTAAAAATTTCAAATTTAAGATTCTTATGACACGTACTCTTATTTCACGTATAAAGTTTTAAAACAATGCATAAATTTGATTTTATAAAAATTTTAAAATAGGACCGAGTTAGATATAAAATATGTTATGTAAGCTGTAAAAATTTGAGCAACTTTAATATAGGGTGTAACGTAGTTGAGGTCGGGTCCGTGTAGGTGTCGCTGCCGCGTATCACAAAGTTCTCAAGTGACACGTGACACACTTAAGTTACCGTGCAACTTTTGATAGGGATGTATAAACTTAGATGACAACGAAATTTATGGACTTTCGGAAAATTCATGGATGAATTTAACTATGACATAAATAATTTAGCTGCTATTTTGAACGTTCCAGCTTAAAGAGGAACCTTGAACTATAATTAATTATGCTTGCATTGAGTACCAACTATTTGTAACAGATATTTGACTATGATCAAAGTTAGTAACTTCTAATATTAGAGTGCACATTTGTATTAAAGAATAGCGCCACTCAACACTGTTTACTAAAGTATTTATGGGAATAAACAGTGGGCGAAAGCAAGTTGCAGCAAGAATAGGTCAACTCGATCAGGGAGGGGCCGCGCCTTTCGAGAATTACGCCATTAAATACAATACGTTGTTCTATTTCTCCGGCTAGAGCAGATAACTACTCTATTGGATTTTAAATTTATTGCTTTACAAAACTAACTGCATTTTGCATTATACTATTTTCCGGAGGACTAAAAAAGGTGATTAAACGTACAACTTTATCATCTTCATGTTTTTTTTCTTTCTTATTTTTTAATGAAAAAAAACTTAAATCAAAATGGTTTATCTATTACAGAAGGATAGGATAGGGATACTCCATTAACTCCAGAGGGTGACCTATACCAATCAATCTACATATTCCTTTTGCCTAGCTCTTCTCATAAACACGTCGCGACTTTATTGTACGTAAATAAGAAAGGAAATATCAAATACTTGTGACTTTTGTTTGGCTAGTTGCCAGCGGATGGACTGCTCCACAGGCGCCGATGTCAGGACTTCGGCTTATTGACCCATTCCGTAGCAAACATAAACCGTGCCTCGACATTTCTCATTAAATTTTCTTCTATTATCATTTTTCTTGACTTAACCATTAATCTTCAGGGATGTGGCAAGAAGAAAACAATAGTTAAATGGCGAAGTCAATTAATTTCGTCTGTTTTTTAATTACCACCAACTACGCTAAGTAGCTCTTAAAATTGGAAACTCTCGAGAGCTTTGCCGAGCGAACTATTTACACAAGTGCGAGATTTAATTAAATTTAATTGTAACATTAAGTACGAAAACAACTTCTTAATGGATTTTATGGAGAAACAAAAACGTCTGTGTTCTGAAATAGGCTCTAGTAGCTTTGATCAGTAGTTGAGACCGTACAAAGATAATAACTACGTCATTTATTGTTATCCTTTACTTATGTATTAACAATATAGACAATATTAAAATTATCGCCATGTGTAACCTATCACAAAATTTATAAGGATTAATCTTGATAGATTATAATGTTTCATGCTACTTTAAGAACGAAAAAAAGTATAAACACTGCCCTTCTTTACTCATTGTGAAGAAAATCGTTAATTGCAGTTAATATTTATTTAATTTTATGATTCTGTCCAAGCGTACCTCTTGTAAAATTAAATCAACATTTCTTCAATAAAAGTACAACATCGGATTATAATTTTAACGAGGCTAGCCTTTGCGCTGCGCTCGGCATCCTGCCAACGAATTTATTTTCCTATTTCTAACAGAAAATGTATACCCGAGGAATACCACGAAATTATAAAACATACGTCAAAATATTTTACTCATCTATCACTGTACAACCTTCGTTTGTAAACTTTATAAACAACTATTTTGCGTCACATCTACGTTCGAGTAAATCATTCATTAACGGCTAAAACCAAGTTAATTGCTAGAGAGCAATGTCCGCGCTTTTCCCTTAAAAGGCACGTAACTTGAGATACATTTCAGTAAGGGATTAACGAAACCGATAATTCCAATTACAAGTAACTTAATTCGAAGGCACTATCGATTTGACTATTTAAAAGTTCCTTTTATTACTGTATTCATTATAAAAGTATTTGATTAACCAAAACACAAGGCTAATGTAGTATATTCTGTTATGTTGTATCTTCTATCTTTTTAAATAAACAAAGCAACACTTCGAAAATTAATTAAATTAATTATGAACGAGACCGCTAGAAGCATCCGGTAGCGTGCCATCTGAATAAGCAAACCTCTACTCGCTTTCATATTCCAAATGAAAACAGTATCATAGTAAACAAGCCTCTACTTGCACGCCACTAATTAGAAAACTCTTCACCTTCAATGTATATTCAGTACCTTGACTTAGGCCACATATTGTCGTGACTTTGTCTTTGTTCAATTTTATAAACCGTTATGTTAGCAGCATTAAGCACTTTGTACCTAAACCACTTGAAGAACATTAAAATAAAGTTGCCATAGTAATGTTAATACTATACTAGTAATTACTATTATAGTAATGCTAATGATTAAATAATTAAAAAAAAATGAAAACGTGTTCGTTGTTAATTCTAGAATTACGGCATACAACTATAAAAAGTCTTACTTCTTAGACCCGAACAACGAATTTTCTTTAAAATTTTCGAAACAATTTCTTGTTACGAAATTTCGTTATAATATTCAAGATACAGTTGACTTAATTGTTTATTTATTAAAATCAATATCACGTTGACCTACAAACGCAGTACAAACAGTTGATTTCAAACAACTCAATAATTAAAATTGAATCGCAATAAAAGTTTAACAAGCACAACGTTACGTAAGTGTGCACTCTAACAATATATTTGTTCTGTGCAATATGTGACCTGACGTAATACATTTTTTACCGTAAATAAAAATGTATTGTTTATAATGAAAATATATACTAATATAGTATATTAGAAATTACAAATACACTGTACTTTTACTTCAATTTTAGTTCTTAATTATTTCGTTGGTGCTTTTTCTGTTCTTGTTAGATTTAGTCCTTCCATACTTTTTGTTTATATTTTACCACAATACTCTAATTAACAGAGTCAGCGTTACAAAGTATAACAATTTTGATGCAAAAAAAAATTCTGTGTCAACTTATGCAGCAATACCGTCCTCATTTTTGTTTAAAAACGTGTTTTTGTTAGTTAATTGCAGTGCGAGAAAAAATAACACTTTTCAGACTATTTAGTTATTTTTCCCTAAATATGTCGATTACTTTGCCCAAAATCTTCACCTATTCTATCTTATAGAGTTACCAAACATTATGAAGATATTTACAAAGTAAAGGCGTGATAGAGTGTTAAAACATAGAGCTATCCTACAAAGTGCGAGGGTTAAATATACAACCTACCATAGACATAAAAGTAAGTATAGAGTTAGGACGCAAACTCCTAGTCTAATTTAACAAGGCATATGGTAAATTAGTCTTTCGTAGCGCCAGGCTAAGAATTTTTAATTTCGTGGAAAAACATGCAGTTTATAACTTTGTTAAACAAAAACTACTAAATATGTAAAAAGTAATATCAATCACTAATATTATAGAATCATCTTATCAATGTACAAACCGATATAAAATGGTTGAAGATGCTACGACGTAGAACGATACAAATCGTAGAGGTTTAAACCTTAAAAGGTATACGCGGGAATATGACGTAAAATAACATTTAAGACATTATACTAATGAGGCTACTGCTACGAATACGTAGCCACTGAAACTGTAGTCCCAATACTGATAT